CTATGTTTTACACATTTAAAGACCTTGCATGTCCACAAAGATACCTGTTGATTCTAATCTCCTGTTGTGAGCTGACAACACAGTACCTTTGCTAGACGGAAATTGCAAGGATTGGTGGCAGCCCTTCCCAGTCATCTTTTGCTGCCCTACAAAATTTATTCCTCCCTCTCCATCCTTCAGGGCTCATGTAAAGAAAGTGTGCTATGCAGAGCTGGTAATTGTGATTGAGACAGGGCTGGACATTGCACAGCTCTGGATTTCTGACCTGATCAACAGGTAATGTTTTGCACTTATTGAACAAATATCAAAAAACATTTTTAATAGTAAATTTAACAGCTCAAAAGGAAGCAAACAGAAGTTCATTGTTAGTATTTATATGTACACTTAAAAAATAACTTACCTGGCACAAGCTCCATGACAATATATATTGGCTGTCGCTGTGTACATACTCCAATGAGTTTTACAATATTGACATGATCATATTGCTTCAGTATTCTGTGCAAACATAACAGAACAAAGCATATATGTTTTAGATAACGATATAGCAAACAATCAAAGCATGTACCACAACTACATTTCTCAAATGGATGCAGCAATGCCAGGACATTAAGGTATTATATATTTGTTTGCTTAACAACACCTTAGTTATTTCACTAGCTCAACTGCAGTATGGAGATCACAAGCCTAGAATACTGAGGTTGTGCATATAGCTAACGACAATGCAAACATGTAAAGTAGGGTCTGATGATACCAGCAAATCTGGCCTTTGACTGACTCGATCACTAAAACAATTTGGTTATTTTCACAGTTAAATTTGAAAAGAACCTAAAATTCAGGTTGCAAGATAAATAGGATGTGATGGTCACATACACTGCCGCTCCTGACTGTAGGATATCTAAATTACAATCAGCAGGCTGTGGAGGTTTGTAGCTCCATAATGATTCTATAGATAAAACAACCTAACTACTCTTGTACAACCCTAAAAAACTGCGTTATTTACGGAGATTCCAAAAACCACATTGGACATTCATAAGCACACTGGCTGCCCAATGACAGCTTAGTGTGGATCTGTACCTTGTGATCGCTGTGACTCAATCACAGCCCTCACAAGTGTATACACTAATAGTGTTTAAACCCATTTGACCGATCCTTGGATCCAGCTGTTACCCTGCCAACTGTCTACTCCCCCGCTGCAGTGATGCAATGTCCCTCTGCATTCTCACAGCCTATTCCCTGTATAGGACATGATGACTCAAAGGACCTTAGAAAGCTGGAGTGGAGGGGCACAGAGGCAGTGGGGACCGGTCTAACAGCCAACTGGCTGCAAGGTTCAGGTGGGTAACTTCATTATTTCTGTCCCAAGATGAAAAAAAGCACATAACCCTTGCAGTGCAGGGGTTGCCCCACTGAAAAAGGTTAGGAACCTGTGTCCTGCAATGTACTCCAAGAAAAGGAATTTACAACGAAGACAACAACCCATCTTTTGTCTTAGACCTTGGGATGTCCAAAACAGCAAACAAACGCTAACAGGTGCATGTAGCAAACAGGTGAAAAGAAGGGCTCAATAAAACTCAGAGTGGCTTTAAGCACCTTATGCCCCAAAATTGGCATCAGATGATGTCAAAACATCCACTTGAACATGTGAATGGAAGACCAGGCGGCTTTGAAAATTTAAGAAACTAATGTCTGATGCACAAAAGCCCATTAGGTACTCTATATCTTAGGCTATACACTTGAGTAATTCATTGTTTAATCCACCTAGCAGTGGTGAACCGAGAGGCAGGACCCACCAGAATAACAGAGGAAATCGAATTGCCTAAATGAAGCTGTAGCTTAGAGAGAGAGAGGAGCACAGCACAAATCACATCCAAAGGCCAAACCAGGACAGAAATTTCCCTGGAATGTTTCAGAGCAGGAGAGAGAGGAAAGGACAATGTTCTGGTTAAGAACCAAGGAAGAACCTCCCCTTGGGAAGAAAGGAGGCCTAAGAACTCAAGACTACCTTATCCTTATTTAACACAAGGAAGGGCTCTTTACAGGATAAGGCCTCAACTAAGAAAGAAACTTGTCTTGTGGAGATGATAGTAAAGAGGAAGGTAACCTTGAGAAATAGGGCGGAAAGGGGGATATAACTGAAGGGTTCAAAGAGCAGCATCTGAAGGACCGAAGGGACTAGATTGAAATGCTACAGAGGCACTGGGTAGCAATGTGAGCAACACCCTGAACAAAGCTTTCACCTTGAAAGAGGCAAGTGGTCTATGGAAAATTACAGATAGGGGTGATTTTTGGCTCAAGGCCAAATGTTGACCCAGACCAGATTGCAGAAAAGACAAGATTCACCCTATGGAGTACTTCCTGGGATGAAATGTCCTTATCCCTTTTCCACGCAAGGTAGTTCTTCCAGGTAAGATGTTAGACTTTGGAAGAAGTCAACCTTCTAGCCTGACCAAATCGCCTAGACCTGTGTCCCTCAGATCTGGGCTGGAAAGTGGCATTCTTCTCAATCAAGAATCCGGTCCACTTCTCTTTGAGCTGTGCAACTCCTGGTGCCACCCTGATGGTTGATCTAGGTCACTGCAGTAGCACTAACTGAATCCTAGTCAAGATGACCTTGCAGCTGAGGGGTCTAAAATTGAAGGGACAACCGAATGCCCTGAAATGTAAGATGTTAATCGGAAGCCGAGCTTCCCCTGATGATGAGGTCCCTTACACCAAGAGGATATCCAATATTCATTGCCAGCCTGAAAGGTTCGTCATATATACCCTACAAGCCATTAGGAGGAATGATTTCCTAATTTTAGCACTGGATTGGAAAACCACCACTGCAGGGCAAGCCTGGTTCTGCTGGAGAGGCATATGGAATGATTCAGAGACTGAGTTGGCTTGTCTCAAGCTGTCAGAATGTTGAGTTGAAATGGTTGGGAGTGAAATTATGGATACACTATTGCCTCAAAAAAGGCAACAATTAGTCCCAGAACCTCAAAAAACCTTAGGGTCCGGAGAGCTAATATTGTCTTGACTGATTGTTTATTTACCAAGAGAACATCCAGGTATTCCAAAATAGCATAGCAGATCTAGGTGAAAACGTGAGGTGCAGTGGACAGGCCAATAGGAAAATAAACAAATAAGTAATGTTGCCTGCCCTTAGCAAAAAGTAGATATGGTGGAAAGATGGGGATGCGCAAGTAGGTGTCCTTGAAGTTCACGGAGGGCAGAAGATGCCTTGATTGCAGGGGTGCAATGACAGATCTTGCAGACTCCATATGGAACTTTTGAGCCCAAAGGTACCTGGTACTACCTGTTGAGCATATTTAGATCCAGAATGGGATGAAGACCTACAATGGCCTTTGGAAGGGTGAACAGGTTTGAGCAGAAGCCCTGAAACCATTCCTCCTCTAAGACAGGAAATATGACCCCTAAGAGAGGAGCCACTAAAGAGCAGAGTGGAGATCTGCTTTACTTTGCAGGGAGGCCAATAAATTTGACAGCGTGAAACAAGGTGGAGGCAGAAGCTGAAAATTTAACTTGTAGCCTTTGTACACAATATTCTGGGCCCAGGCATCCGAAATGTCCCAACTCCAGATGGCTGTGAAAGCCTATGTGCATCCCCCCCACACATGTTCAGTATAGCCAGGCCAAAAGGAGGCTACTCAGGAGCCCTAGCATTCTCAAGATACAACGGAGGCAAAAAGGTAAACCACTATAAGGGCACCAAATACCAATACAAAAACATGCCTGACCTTCCACTGCTCCATAGTTAAGCCCAAAGGAAACAAAGAGCAACAGCACACTAGGCAACCTAGTAGGGCAGAAGCCTCGACTTACCCTGCACTTGCAGTCCTCACTTGTCAGTTGTGAATGTATTTAAAAGTATGAATCCGATCCAGATCTTTGCCCTCTTGGTGGGCTCATCCCCTATAGGGTCTTCAGGTATAGGGTAACACCAGGCAGTAGTGTCATGGCCCTGGACATATGTAACATTCTGCAGCTAGCTCAACGCGTTGCGCCTAGGTGAGCGTCTGACACAGGATCCAGTGTCCAAAGTAACATTACAGACTGGCCCCACATCTTCTGCCTGATGGGGTCTGCATGTGGTTCCCCAAAACACAACCAAGGAGTCAACTGATTTGGAAAGCTGCAGAAAAGAAGCTGCAGTGGCTATGTTGCAGCTAGGAATCTTTATAGAATCTTGGTAAAAGTAATAAAAGACAAAATGAAAAAATATTTTGGTTACAGAAATCCATCATCTAAGACAAAAAACTAAGGGTTGCTGGGGGTTACATTATAGCTGTCCTACAGCTTTGTTTGCCAATCTCCAATCACCTGAAGGCAGCAGCATATAACCCATGGTCTAAGGCCACAAGATCCTGTGTCTTGTAATTTATAATTAAGAAATTAGCATTTTAATGTACAGGTGAAACTCGAATAATTAGAATATCGTGCAAAAGTAATTGCAGTAAGTGCTGCAAAAGGGGCCCAAACCAAGTACTGAGTACATATGCATGCTTGTACTTTTCAGAGGTCCGATATTGTTCTATGTACAATCCTTGTTTTATTGATTGCATGTAATAATCTACTTTTTTGAGGTTGTGGATTTGGGGTTTTCATGAGCTGTAAGCCATAATCATCACAATTATGACAAATCACTGCTTGAATTATCTTGCTTTGCATGTAATGAGTCTATCTCATATATTAGTTTCACCTTTTAAGTTGCATTAGTGAAATAAATGAACTTTGCACGATATTCTAATTATTCGAGTTTCACCTGTATAATGGCAACATAGCACATGTAAACAAAAAGTGTACACAAAAAAAAAGTAAAATATAAAGCCTATAGAAAGAGCCTAATGGATCCTAAAAACTAGCATCTTCAAGATAGCCAATTAAGGGTATTGCCTAAACGCCATACTTTTTGCATAAATAATCACTAATATAGGTATTTATAGCCGCACAGGAAAAAACTGTAATTTAATTCATTTTGCTATACAGCTTGTCATGATATGTTACCTGCCATTTTAAGCTGAAGGATATTTCATAGTGACAGTCCTTAGTAATTGCTATGCAATTATTAAACAGGAAACTAACTGTTGCTTTCTTTATAACTCAATCATTTTCATTAGTTTAGTGGGTCCTTAAGGATCAGATAACATTAGTTTCATGCATAGATGGTTTCAGGCAGGTGTTATTTAATGCATTGACTAAATTAAACTGGCAAGATATTTAAAAAGAAAACATTTCATAATGATTATATATATTTTTCATTTTTTGCTGCTGTTCACTGCTAATAACAGGTAAAGCTGAATTTGTCAGAATATATGACTAATCTAGTTTCCCGCTTTGTGGTGACTGCAGAAGTGTGTGAGACGCATTAATATTTTCCCTCACAATGTATCAAAGAACTGCAATGCAAAAAGCGTTATTAATATGCATCCTAATTACAGCATGAAAGATTGCCAGATTTGTCTTCAATACATGCAACAAATAACAGTATTAATTCAGTCCCCACTGTGAAAGACAGTAACTAATTAAGAGATGCTTATGATTATGTAATTCTCCATTTACTACAATCTGAACTGAACTCACCTGGCTTCAGATAAAAATTTAATTTTCAGTTCCTGAGGAAGATCTTCCTTACACGTTTTCACAGCAACTGGTGTTTTATCTTTTAGGGTTCCCTTGTAAACTTCACCAAAATTGCCCTATAGCAAATTAAAATCAGTCATATTAGCTCACATCACATACTGAATTCTTCTTCTTGATTATCTATCTAAAGAGGTTCAAAGAATAATCATTATCAGGGCATTTACAGAATTACAGATTTTGCAAACTTTCTAGCAGCTTCTCAAGTAATTTCTCCGATGGCCCTTTACGCATTAAGAATGAGCATTAAGTGGTGCTGCTTAGCTGTGCAGTTGTCAGGCAAGAACACAGGAAACTGCAGAGCTGCAAAGATATAATCTACCTGGCTAAGCAGCATTAAAGGATCAAAAGGTAGATATATAGAGTGGCACACTGTAAGATATAGAGTTAGAAAATTCATCAGGGCTAAAGGGAAAAAAATACAAAACATTTAAAAACAAAATATATTTTTGAATCAAAGTATAAATAAAAATAAGTATTCAAAATGTATAATGAAAGTATACAAAAAATATGACTTTTTATGAATAATTTTTATTTACGTTTACATTTTGTCATTTTAAAGTGACATTAAGGATACCCCCACCCCCATGCTAGCGTAAGGACTTACCTTAAATGATGCCTCTTGATCCGATTATCGTCTGCTTTCCTGTAGTTTTCATGAATCCCTCCAGCGCTGGTGCCAGTCTCTGATCCAGCGCTGACTCCTCTCTCTTCCTGGCACTTCCTGTCCCACGGAGTCTGTGCGGGTGCACGCTGCTCCATTGACTTACCTTGTGTCTCTCCTCCTCTCCCGGCCAAAGGTCTGTACTGCGCATGGTTCCTGCCCCATGATCTGCAGCCACCCAAGATTTTTTAGGATCTTCAGATGGGAGCGCGCGGTGGAGACGAAGGTAAGTTTAAACCTTTTTCGGAACTTTAAAAAAATGTTTTTGCATATATATACTGCTTACTAGGTGTTTTAGAGCAGCCTAGCTATAATCAGAGTTTTTCTTCAACAAAATACCTTATTTGGCATGTTCTGCTAAGGAGCAATTCAGTGCCTCTTATCTAATTTCTTCCAGTCTGGCTATGAACTATGTATTCCAGAATCCTGCTGCACTCCTTACCGTGTAACCCTGTCAGCGTGGGTCTTGAAATGACCGCGGATGGCGCAGCCAATACTGAAACTTGTTAAAGATGTCACCAGCACACCATATTGAAGTGAAGAACACGTTTGTTTATTGACGATTCACGTCAAAACAAATAACGTTTCGTGGCCACACAGGGTCCCCTTCAATGTAATTTTAAGCCTAATGAAGGGGAGCCTGTGTGGCCCCGAAACATTGTTATTGGTTTTGACATGAAGGCAACCAATCAGCTTCTGTCTTTCATTTGCAAATCTCAACTCAAAAAAATTGAGAGAAGCTGATTGGTTGCCCTATGCAACTGCTCCAGATTTTGTCTGCTCTAAGTTTGATAAATTCCCCTCAAAGTATCTATTTTTCTGAACTGTACTGAACAGCACTCACTCGTATCTGTTACAATGCTGTTTTACATTTGCATCTAAGCAAACACATCGCAGGTTTCAATACAGGTATTAATATTCAGTGCATTAATATATAATCTTATTCTGAAATTGGTAAATGAACTCCATAGTACAGACACGCTAGTTCATAGCACTAATTTAAAAAAATAAATACCAAAAGAAATTATTTTATTTATTTTTTGTCTGAAAAGAGAAACCACAAATGATTAAATTAAAGAGGATAAAATTCGAACAAAAAATTAATCTGATGTACTTTGCTTCCCTGTACCAAGCAATGAATATTAAGGATGACAACTGATCAGTGTGATTCACAGCCTTAAACAGAAAATTACATAGGCCTGGTAGCCATTCATAACAAAGTTCAATTTTCACTTGCGAAAGGCGTCATAGATTACTGCAAGGTAACAAATGTAAAATGCTCATCTGATAACACCAGAAGTACTGAAATGTCATTTAGTAAAATGCAAAGATTTAACTGTCCCCTGACATGCAAGATATACTGTAAATAGGTTTGGGAGAACTAAAGGAGCAGGAATGGATGGCTCCTTCAGAAATATTTATAGATAGATATATATAGATAGATATATCTATCTATATATATTAGGGATGCACCGATATATAGCGCCCGAAAATTGCACTTTTGGCTAAATGCCGAAAGTGCCATCTTCCGGGCGATACATCAGCGCATCCCAGGTTTCTTTCTTCCCCGCTGGGCGCTGCTTTTTGTCCCAGCGGGGAGGAGAGAAACTGACAGCCGGCCGAGCGCAGCAGGAGGAGAGCGCTGTGAACAGCCGGTGTCTCTCCTCCCACACCGCTCAGCCACCTATCACAGTCCGGCAGAGCGGTGTGGGGGCGGATACAGGGCTCTCCTCCCTGCTCGCTCAGCCTCCTGTGACAGCGTCCCAGAAAGGAGAGCGAGAGCAAACACTCAGCGATCACTGAGTGTTTGTACATAATTGACGACATGGTATGCTAACTATATCCTCAATTATGAATGAATGGGAAGTGATCTACATCACCTGCTGTTCATTCATGATTATGGTTATAGTAAACACACAATGTTTTCATGCTATCAATGAACTGGAACGCTGTTTTTCTATTTTAAAAGGGAAATATCAGGGGTCTGTTTAGACCCCTAATATTTCCCCAAAGCCCTAAAAGTAAAAGTAGAAAATAAAAAATGAATAAAAATAAATAAAAAAAGTTTATAAAAAATAAAAAAAATATTGAAAAAAATTTAAATCAAAACATTTTCGGTTTCGTTCTGACAATAATTTCTATTTCGGTTTTTACATTTCTATTTATAAAGAAAGACATGGGGCTTTCACATTCAGACAAATAGCTAGCCAGCAGGCAAGAAGCTATCAACATTCAGCTGCAAACAAAGTCTATGCAGACAAGATACATGTGTTGCACTGCTGCCTTCTGTAAGGCAAATAGCAACAACTACCTGGTAACCAATCAATAACCACATTTCATAGTTTTGAAATCTAAATGGTTTCTATGGGCTAAAACATATTAAAAAAATGGTTGTTCCACTAAACAAGTCAGTGTTACATGTGTGGGGTTTCATTTACATTCACCTTTACCGTGGATGCCTGAATGATATTACCCATTTATTTGGGTATATGTACCCAAATAAATGTATTTAAGTGCAAGTCGGTCATTTCTTGCCACAATGATGTTATAGGAGGTTAGGAAGTATGCATGTTCTTTTTATATAGGAGCTGGCAATACAATTCATAATTGCGACCTGTGCTTCACTTCCTCCTGTGAGAGCTGAACAAGGCAGGTAATACACTGTGTGAAATTCTCAGCATCTGGTGGTTTATCATGGGTTTAGTTCAAGCTACAAAGGGCAAGTAAGACAAGTAAGGGCAAGTAAGACAATCACTGCCAGTTAAATGACATACTGTATATGAGTGTAACTAGATACCTCAATAATGGCACAAATATGTAAACTGATTGTGTGGAAAACCCATTAATCTGGACACACAAAGTTACAATCTCTGTACCATCTCCTTTAAATTTAACAAAAACTGTGAAAAATTATGGATTTCCTAAAAAAATATTTTCATCTATAAAAAAAGGGAGGCCTTTGCTTTAAATAGTTGTTGGTAGGTCTAAAGGAGAGTATATAACTAGATTGTAAGGTGTCCGGTGAGTCCTTTAAAACCCACCACCCCCATCACTGTATACTTAATTGTCCTAAAAGCGACACAAAACCCTCAGCTTTTTCCTTCTTATATACATCTACACAATGAACATTCTCCTAAACCACATTCTCTTATGCTTTAAAATAAAGCATTTCTATTTTAATCCCTTTAGAACGTCTGCTGTGCTCGCTCCCATGGCTCTTCTCTCCCCTCACACTTCCTGACACATAGAAAGAGCCATGCATGCAAAACACAAGATACAACGTTTCGGGGTCCCACAGGATCCCCTTCATCAGGCTAACAAGTGATTCCTTTTTTTGCCTTGTTTGCCTGATGAAGGGGATCCTGGGAGACCCCGAAATGTTGTATCTTGTGTTTTGCATCTACAACAATTACGTGAATTAATAGACGTACTGGATTTGTTTTGAAGTGCCGATGTCCATCCTTTACTTATACGTTAATATGCGAGCGCTCGCAGGGGCAGAGGACTTTACAAATGTTACTTTTACGTTTATTTTACGTTATTGGTATCACATAAGGGGGCTTAAAAGCACCCCATGTGATAGCCCAATGTAAGCGACAGGTTCTCTTTAAGGTGACACTAGGCATCAAAAAGACCCCCAGTGTCAACTTTCCACTCCAAATAAGCTATTGGAGCCTAGATCGTCGTCTAATAGCTTATTGCCTGGCTTCTGCAGCCGAGCAATGACAGCTAAGGGACTGGAAGTGATGCAATCAGCCGTAAATAGATGGCTTTTTTTTCTGCTCGCGCAAGCACCCCAGCAGAAAAAAACCTGTCCATTGTAAACAGCCGTTAGCGGCTGTTTCACATACAAGTGATCGGCGGCTCTATAGCCGTCCGATCGCTTGTATGTGCTGCCTGCGTGCGCCCCCAGCATTACTTCCGCATTCACCTGTCAGTCATCTGGCTGCTACAGCCAGAGAAGAAGCTGGTGAAGCAGATCTCTGCTTCATCAGCTTCTTTGGGGGTCCCCAGGTGACATTAGGGGTCTAAGAGACCCCCAATGTCTCCATAAAGAGGACCTATCTAGAGGCAGAGCCAGCTGTACCCGCCCCCTCCCACGTCCGTTCCGCCAGTCAGCGCCGGCAGATCGGAGCGGGGAGAGGGGCATCCAGCCCCTCCCCCTGTCACGGCAGAGAGCCGTGACAGGATCGAGAGGTGAGCGAACCTGGTATGTGTTCGCTCACCTCCCGATCTACTGAGCCGACCTGTGACAGTCTCATTGTCACAGGTCGGCTAGAACTATGAGGTGAGTGGAAATCACTCATCTCATAGTTCTCCTTTAAGTGTAAAAAAAAAAAAAGTCACATATTAAAAAAGTAAAAAAAATACAACATTTTTTAAAGGAGAACTATGGGGTTAAGGCTTTTCCCCATAGTTCTCCTTAGGGTAACGGGAGGACACAAACTAGCGTCCTCTTGTCAGCCTAGGCTCAGTATACCGCAAGCTGCTGCGGTATACTGAGACGCCGCAGTATACTACGAGCTGCTGCTCGCGGTATACTGAGACGCCGCAGATGACGCGGATCCCTACAATTGTGCCGCGATCCGCCTAGCTGCGTGACTGACAGCTGGCTCTGCCTATCTAGAGGCAGAGCCAGCTGTACCCGCCCCCTCCCACGTCCGTTACGCCAGTCAGCGCTGGCGGATCGGAGCGGGGGGAATCCAGCCCCTCCCCTGTCACGGCAGAAAGCCGTGACAGGATCGAGAGGTGAGCGAGCGCCGGTATGTGTTCGCTCACCTCCCGATCTACTGAGCCGACCTGTGACAGTCTCATTGTCACAGGTCGGCTAGAACTATGAGGTGAGTGAAAAGCACTCACCTCATAGTTATCCGTTAAGTCTCTCACCCCCACGTTTACACACATATAGTTACATAGTTACATAGTTACATAGTATTTGAGGTTGAATAAAGACATTAGTCCATCAAGTCCAACCTATTAGGATCTCATTCTAGGAGTACCCGTACCCCTGTATATTACGGTCCCTTAAGAAATCGTCCAAACGTTTCTTGAACAATTCCACATTATTTGCTGAAATCACCGCCTGTGGCAGTGAGTTCCAGACCCTAACTGATCTTACTGTGAAGAACCCCCTTCGCCCCTTGTGCTGGAATTTTTTTTCCATCAATTTTAGGTGATGGCCTCTAGTTTTTGTAACGGAGTTAATTTTAAACAGTTTATCGCTAATGTTGCTACCACCATTAAACATTTTGTACATGGAAATCATATCCCCCCTTAATCTCCTCACCTCTAATGTGAACATGTTTAAATTTAGTAGCCTCGTCTCGTAGCTCTGGTCCTCCATACCCCTAATTAGTTTGGTTGCCCTTCGCTGGACTTTTTCCAACTCAAGGACATCTTTTCTTAGTACTGGTGACCAGAACTGGACCGCGTACTCCAGATGAGGTCGAACCAATGATCTATAAAGTGGCAAAATTATAGACTTGTCCCTGCAATACATCCCCTTTTTAATACAGGACAAGACCCTGCTAGCTTTGTTTACAGCAGCCTGGCATATAAATGTAAAAACGCGCCAGCACACGAAAACGGCAATTGCGCTACAAATGTTACATATTGTCGCGAATGTCGGAGTGAGGGCAATCATTTTAGCACCATCAATCACTGATAACACTAAACTGATGAGCGGTAAAAGCTTTTAAAGCATCGCCTACGGACAATTGGGTATTGTAGTTGTTTGAGGTTTCGTGGGCGCGTGCAATTTTAAGGCTGGACATGTTTGGTGTCTTTTTACCCGACCTGACCCCGTCTTTTATATTTTACCAAAAAATTGGGTAATAATAAATGTTTTATAATTTAATATAAGGGGAAAAGTTTGTTTTTTTCTGGTAATTTTTCCTTACTATAGTAAAAAATAAAAGCCCCGGTGGTGATTAAATACCCCCAAAAGAAAGCTCTATATTTCAGTACAGCGTTGCATGATGGAATAAATGTCGGTCAAAGTACTGCAGCGCTGAATACTGAAAAATGGTTTGGACAGGAAGGGGGTTTAACACCCCGGTCATCAAGTGGTTAAAGGAGCCTGCTGCCAGTGACATATGAGATTCGCCCATGGCAACAAAAAGGTTAATAGCAGGAGAGACTTTTTGCATGTTTCTTCTAGAAAAAAAAAAAGTCTTACCTGCATGCCAGAAATGTGTTTTCTAAATGTACAATCATGCACAGCTCAGGGTACAATCCTGGTATCTGCTAGGTGCCAGGATGACTTAACTACTGTACAGGAGTTATGCCATTCCAGGGCACCTAATCAAGATGGAATAGGACAACGAACCCGGGAGAAGACTAGGATAAGATGTCAATGGCAACAACAGAGTTATGAGGGACAAGGTGCCGTCTTAGCAGTTGTATCCACTCCAATGATATCAGGCCAAGGTGTGTAGCCAGTGAAGCCACACATGTTCTCTCTGCTCAATAAAGCAGAGTGAGCTCTATGAATGAAGGCGAGCTGATCACTAAACTTTGAAAAGGCAGATGACCGGGCTCTCCTTCCAGCTTTTTATCCTTTCTTTTATCATTTAAGACTTAGGGACTGTGAAGTATGCAAAGCACATTTGTAAAACAAATCGCTGTGCTTAACAAATGTACACCGTTTTTGTTGTAGTGTATGGCCATAGTGCTGTTTTTTAAATGAGACCCACCGTAGTATTGCCTGATGCAAATAAAGAAAACCTAGAGATTGTCAGGTGCTATGAGTCATGTACAGCACAGAAATGGGCTCCAATCAACTCTTGTAATCAGGATACTACTTAGTAATTTTCTGAGTGTTTTTTTTCCCACTTATTCAAAATAGAACAAGGTTATATGTATAATTATAGGACTATTTTATTACAAATATTATCCTTACAGGGGAGATATTATATGTAATGGGTTCCCTATTCATATCTCAGACAAGCTCCATTTTATTTTTGCATATGTTCTATTTAACTAAAGTGAAAGCATTATATCACTATCCAGCCTCTTTACTTACTTTTCCCAGTAATTCTCCTAGTGTCACATCTTCATGATTGAGAATCCATTTTTTATCCTGTGAAAATAACAAGAAAAAAAAATCACATGACACTGCAATACTGAAAAGATCTCCTAAGCAGCTGTAGAAAATTGTAGAGAATATTACAATTACCACCACACCGCCGAAGCCATGTAAAAAGCTTGTAAAGTACTCCGGCACAACAGGATATTAAAAGCAACATAACTGTAATGTCATTTTACAGAGTAAAGCCTGCCACATGATGGTATATTTATAAGCACTGCACAGTGTGTGCCATTTCACAATGATCTGGATATGGCACTGTCTGTTTTCAAAAGCTACTTTCATGGCAGAAGATAAGAAAACTGTGCTGAGATTATTAGATGTTTTCTTATCAAACTGTTATTATATGCCTGAAATTACTACATTGTTGTCATTCATGTTCCTCTGTGTCACAATATACCAAAAATTATAATATATTGTGCTCATAAACAAAATAATGGAGAACAATAAAGAACAAAAGCAGAGAAAACATTGCTAGTTGTCATACGAAGTTGGCTTGTCCTAATTATATCAACAGTTCAAAAAATATTCCCAGGCCAAGAAAGTACAAAAGTTTCTCAAAAGGCAACATTGTCAACCAATAAAGAGCTCCAATTAAAACAGTTTTTAATATTTTAGTTAGAAAAGTTTGTACGCATATGCAAATATATTGGAATTCTAAACTCCACTGTACGGTGACTCTGTAGCTGGTAATTCCTACTCTAATTTAAAAAACTAATTTAAAGAACTCATACTGAGATAAGATATACTCCATCCCTCCCCAAAAACTCAGACACATTCAAGGACTAGACTGGCATGGGGCAGCAAAAGGACACAATGATCAAGAGCTAAATCAATGCATAACTGATTGGCTGGCTAACATCTATAAATGTATTTTGTTGGCCAAAGGGAGGTGGTGTTCCATCAGTAAAAATAAGAAATTGTAGAGGTCAGGCTGACTTAGTCCTAAGTAACAGATCCACTGTCCTTTGATGTGCTGGATCTGCTGGCATTACCTTCTAAATCAAGTAGGATAGCGGAGAGATCTGACACACTAACAAACCAAACTGGCAACATTCAGAAATACAAATGAATCTGAACTGCGGGACTGTATAACTACTTCTGTTCAGGCACATACATATTTAGCAATGGGGAGGCTTTCAAAGCCGTAAGTACATGTGATGGCTCAACAAGTATATATACAGGCAAGCAAAGAAGATTTGCAGAAACGTGTAAAAACTTTCCTCTAGCACTTAGAACTAGGGATGCACCGATATATATCGGCAGCCGAAAATGGCACTTTTGACTAAATGCTGAAAGTGCCATTTTCCTGCCGATACATCGGCACATCCCAGGTTTCTTTCCTCCCCGCTGGGCGCTACTCTGTGTCCCAGCGGGAAGGAGAGAAAGTGACAGCAGGCCGAGCGCGCTAACTGGGGTACAGGTAGAGATACACCGATACTCAGGTAGAGCTAATGGTACATGAAGTAGGGGGGGGGGCAATGCTTGAAATAGGGATTCCCATGGTGCGTACCTGTACATAACCTGCCTTCTTTCTTACAACATAGAATACAGGGCATTTTGGAATACCATTTGGCTTTGTGCAAAGTCATGTTTGTTTTATATTGTTTAGTTTAAAGTACATATTCACCTTTTTAAGTGATTTGTATTTATTGTGGTAATGTACATGTGCAGTGATGATGTATACATGTGCACATTTTTCATGACTCACATTGCAGGCTTTCTTAATTTTTTTAAAGAAGATTTTATTAGGCCTGAAGCCTAAAAATTCTAAATATTCTCCACAGGAAAATCAGTCGGACACCCGGTGTATATGACTGTAATCAGCTGCCCCCTCCCTGTCACTCATTGTATCATGATCAGTAAACACCAGCCCTGCCTTTACCCACAATACACTGTCTGGAGGGGGGGGAGGGGATAACACACATTGCTTACACAGCACAGAGGCAGAAATGTTAATGAGGATATGAGGAGGAAAGATAATACAAATTCTGCCAATTAGCTCAATTTCCAAATCCCCTATATTGGTGTAGATTTCAAATTCTTCTACCAATTCCCCTGCAATTATTTTTTTTAGTGAATAGACCAGCTATTTTGAAAATAGTGAGGAGAAATAACTTCTGCAACAGAAGAATGTATATTTGGGTGGGCCTTGGGGATGGGTGGGGATTGTGGGTGGGTGTGGCTTGTATATGGGCTGAGCAAAAGGGGCCCCATAATCTCGTATTGCCCAGGGGCCCCATGTGCTGTCAGTCCGCCCCTACACAAGAGGCTGGGCTATCCTCCCTGCTCCGCTCCCTCTGCCTCCTGTGGCAGCAGGTCAGAGAGGAGAGCCGTACAAACACTCAAGGATCAGTGATCGCTGAGTGTTTGTAAATAATTGAGGACATAGTATGGTTACTATATCCTCAATTATGAATGAATGGGAGTGATCTGCATCACCTCCTGTTCATTCATAGTTGTAGTTATAGTAAACACACAATGTTCTCATGTTATCAATGAACAGGAACACTCAGTAAAGAGGATTCCTGTTCATTGATAACAGGGGATACAGAAAAAGAGATTGGAGACTCTGTGTTCTCAATCTCTTTTTCTATTTTAAAAGGGAAATATCAGGGGTCTGTTTAGACCCCTAATATTCCCCTGAAGCCCCTAAAAGTAAAGTAAAAAATAAAAATATGTAATAAAAAATGAATACAAATAAATATAAACATTTTTAAAAAGTTTTTAAAAAATAAAAATGAAATATTTAAAATATTTGAAAAAATTATAAAAACATTTTCGGTTTGACAATTGTTTTTATTTCGGTTTCCTTTCTCTACTGATAACTCAACTCCAGGCATCATTTGTGTACCTCTGCCTCTGAAAACCCATGTTGGCTTTCTTCATATAGCTTAAAAGGTGGCGTTCTCTGGCTGCAGATAGTATGTCTCCCACTGTAAGTCAAGCCCCAGCTTCCCTGCAGGTATGATTGACACTAGTGACGATGTGACATCTCCGTGCCAGCCCGTACTATTTGGTAGAGACACAAATAAGTGAAGGTGTCTAACATCGCTGCAGCACTGATGTCAGCAGAAGTACAGCAGGGGTGGGGATTACTACAGGGGTGTGGTAATGTTTCTTAAGCAAGTCCAAAAATCATCTTACACTAAGAAGCCAAAATTTATTTTATTTGGGAAAATAAGCCTAACAAATGAACAAATGAATCCCTTGTGACACACAATGGTAACTTGAATAGAGGATTTACAAAGCCAACTATTTTTTCCAGACTGTGGACTATATTTGGTTGCTTTCACCAACTTATGCTTTTAAATAAATGAAAAGAAAAAAAAAAATCTTATACCTTTGCTTACTCTTAATTACAGTCCAGTAATGTAGCTTGGACTTTTAAACGCAAAACACTCCCCCACCCAGTGTATGCGAAGCAAAGTAGAAATGTAAGGGGTAAAACATTCTATAATTACAAAAGCTTTTGTTCAGAGATAATGAGAATATGATGCTGACTTTGAAACAAGGTACAAATAACATATACCTTGCAACCAGCAACTCTTCAGAGATACATAACAAAGAACAGGTCTCAGAGGATCAAACGATAGAACACTAAGCTTTTAGGTTACAAAAGGCTAAATGGAAGCTACAAACAAGACAAGAAAACGCCGTAAAAGGTTATTTCTATAAATGTTACGAGAAGCTATGTGGAAATGTATAGAGTTTCTTAGAGGTTTATTCTTAAAGGGAAAAGCAGAGAACTATACCTGTGTAAAAAGCCTCTGGTTTAAATCACCACTCCCCAACTCTTATGCTATGTACTAGTTGTAAGGAATTGAAGCTAAAATTCTTTCAACTCATTGCAAATGACCTTACTGTCCCCTAACACAGTTTCCAGGAGACAGAGAATTGCAGCTTTCAACTTATGTCTCTCCCACAAATTATTTGCTTTATAAAAAAGAAACCATCTAACCCAGCACCAACATATTTATCTTTTAAAGAGGAACCTCACCCTACCAAGCCAAAATGAAATTTAAATTCTTTAACCCTTGACCCTATGGAAAAAACAAAACAAAAACATACTTACTAGACCATAGAGTCAAACATGTCTTCCTTGCAGGTAAAGTCCTTGCACAGCTCCGCTCCTCCACACCACCTAAAAGGAGATCTGTCTGACTGCGATGGCACATGATAAGCTGGAACGTTATACTGTTATTTGGGCAGCTTGGGCGGACTTTTGCTACTTTTAGCAACCAGCAAACCTCTTTCCTCTTTTACCTTTTCCTGCTATGCCTTTCAGCCTTCTCTTCCTATCTAACATATGATGCCCTTGTTTCTTTCTCTGTCTTTTTCCAACATTCAGTCAATCCCCCTTATTTTTTCCTATTACTCTTTCTCCTTCCTCTAGTTCAACTTCATTGAAAAGATTATAGATAAATTTAAATTCTGATCCTTTTTTCTTTATATGAAATAACTCATACTCTAGTTATTACTATCATGTATTTGTTTGCTTTCATCTCTGACTGCCGTTACCCTTTGAGACATCTAAGATAACTTATTACTTTGTATTTGTTGTACAAGTTGATATACCCTTATGTGACACATGCTCTTGTTAAAGATCTTGTGTGTAGAGTTTAACTCGTATTGTTCTATATTCCTTTGTTTTTTTCTTAAACGTGGTGTTACTTTATTGAACGTTTTAATTAAATTTGACAAAAAAGGAAATCTGCAGCATTCACATACATGCCATGGGCCTCTGCCAGGTTCCATAGACTTGGCAGAGGCCCACAGTGTGTCTATACATGCCTAAGATCCTACAAATGGTCTCCTGGTATGAGTTACAGAAGGCAGTGAGTGGCTGGATATGTCATGCTCACCTAGGCAAGGATTCAGGAAGTTATAGTATACAAAAATAAAAATATACAAAAAACAAAAAAAAATGCACAATCATAGAAGAAAATGTGCATTTATTATATTGTGCATTGGAGCCAGTAAAGCATTGCAAC